ACCAGGCATATATTCAATTTCTTATATGTATTTGTTCTTATAGAAATGTTGTTGGAAGGGACTTCTGGCATCAAGTCATTGAGTCCAGCCTCCAGCCTGAATCAGGACTAGTCCCATACTAGATAAGGTCAGGTGTTTCTTCTAGCCTTGTCTGACAATTTCTAGGGACAGATTTTTAAAGCCACATTGACAGCCTGTTCCAGTCCTGCAATGAAGATGCTGCTAACATCCAATCTACTCTTCTTAAATTGCAACTTGTTGGCTGTGGAGCTGTGACACTACCACACACACACACACAGAGACACACCTGACTCCAAGTTGGTCCAGCAGGAAAAGACCTCTTTATTTACATAACATGTCTATTTATGGAAATATAACAATGAACACAGATTGGACAATGATGAAGAGACCCTCTAACTCCACTGGTTCATCACAATGTCAATCATTGCTCGCTTCCTCCAAAGAGGAATGCAAAACAATTCTGTTTACCTGAAAGAGTGTGAGAAAGTGTAACAAGAATGTATCAACATCAGAAGTCCAGAAACACCAGGGCAACAGTTGGCACTGTCAATTGTCCTGGCATGTGCTAATATTAGAAACCATTTTCAGGATAGTTTACATCAATTTTCTTTGTAATGCTGCCCCAAGCAACTAGGAGCACTCCTGCACTTTCTCATCTACATTGTCTCCAAATGAAAACAGCCCAGCTCCCTCAAGGCCTACTCTCTGGTCACTCTGCTGAACACTCTCTAATTTCTGAACAACTTTCTTGGATCCACCATTAAATAGAAACTCCAGGTGATTTCTTCATGAATTAAGGTCTCTAGTTCCCTGTACAGTTCTGTCTTTTTTTCTGAATGGAAAGAAACTATACAGTTGTTTCTGGCATGGACATACCTCTTCTCTATTGAAAATAATTGCAAAAACTCCCCAGAGGGTACAGAACCACAATGACATGTCCTTACTAACTCATGCATCTTATATCACTTAGATCAGAGATGCTTAGCATCATATCACAGCCATTAAGTAAAATGCTTATTTTTTCCCCCTTAGAGTACAAAGACTTAAATACTTGAAAGGACTAAGAAACATTATCAAATCAAGTATTATCAAACGTGTGAGGGATTTTCTGGAATAGTTATCTGCATTTCTTTTCAAGGTTTCATTTACTCTTACCTCAGCTATTTCTTTATCTATTTGTGATGTTGAAAGTAATAATTTGTGATAAAACACTTAGGAAGTGTTTCCTTTTTAGTTCTGGAAAAGACAACAGACATAACCCAATTCCTGATAAGACTTTGTTGCTGTTACATAGAATTAGAGAGAAGTTCCTGTGAACTTTTATATTCCTGACAAATAAATGTGGCAAGGTTCATTCTCAGATCTTTGTTTGGGAGGATATGTGTGTCATTGTGTTATGTTTTCAGGACAATAGAGTAGGTTTGGTAGGATTCTGGGCAGCAAGAAAGTTACGTATAAAAATTCACAATGAAAGAAGAAAACAATAATTTCATGGTTTTATTGAACGCTGTTTTGGAAGAGATTATTTCCTTGAGAATGTGTTTGTGAAAAAAAGTAATCTAATTTAGGGAGCACAGAACAATGCAATGTCTCCGGCAGATTTTTACAGAACCAGTAACATTCTCTGTAGTTTAGAAAAGAAAGAGGGAAAACTTTCCCCCTACCTTGGTCCTTTTTGCATGGTTTGCAGTAAGGAGATCAACAAAAACTTGCAAATTAAAAATAAATGTTGAAATATGTTTCATGATGTAACACTGAAAAAGAAGGATATTACTGATGAAATGTTCAAACTGTGTGCTGTACAGGATAGGCTGTTCCTCTTTCATACTTTTTTTTGTGATAAAATAGAGATAGTATTTGTGTGCATATAACACAAGAATTGAAAGATAGTAATAAAAATTATAAATATTGAAGTGGCTTGTGTGCTTGGATAACTCTCACAAATTCAGAGCTGTAGGTGGGCAGGGAAGGGAACACAGTGGAAGAGATTGTGAGGTATCAGGGAGAAGAATCTTACATGTTGCATTTTCTAGATGCATTGTAAATGGTACATTCTGTGACCCCTGCTATGCCCTGTAGCTTGGTCCCTCTCCCCTCCTGGCCATACAGGGCTGGCTGGGATCCAATTTCTCCCCGCCCCCCTTTTCAGACCCTAGAAAAGATCTGTGCCCCCTGACCTCTGTCTCTTTNTTTTTCTCTTTTTTTTCTCTCCCTCCCTCTTTTCCTTGCTACCCATGAGAAATAAACCCTGTAACTTCATCAGGGAAAAGAGCCTCTTTTGTTATCTTATTTATGTCCATGAGGCAAGGGCCCTGGAGGCTTCATCCTAACACCTGAGCTAGACCAGAGGAAAGGTGAAGACCCCATTTTTAGGGCCAAGAAAAAGCCTCACTTACAAGTAAGTGAATTTCTGCTTGTATTAGCTCTACCTGCACAGTAGACCTAACCTGTGTTAGATCAGCATCATGTTGCTTTCACTCTGCATTTAGATGTATAGAAACATGCCACATTTTTTTCCAAGAAATGCAGTGACTTGCATTTCTGATTAAATTTTCTGGAGAAGGACCTATGCAGACAGAGGCTGCATTTTCCTTAAACCATCAGAAAGATCTCAATTTTCCGTATGTCTTCATACATAATCTATTAAGTAAACTACTCCGTATTTTTAAAGTGCAAGAACAGATTTAGCCTGAGAACTGATGAATAGCGCATTACTGCTAAATACCATAGAAAAGACTAATGTCATAATTTATTTTAGATCCTTCCCTCATCCCAAATTTGCATGTTCTTTCTTTTGTTCTGTCCACTGAAGCATAGAGATTACAATAACTGTTTTCTAATCTTTTCAGAAAACAGTTTTCACTAGCTACAGCAGAATATATTAAATGTGCAACAGAACAAAACATACTGAAGTTAGGATACTGTATTTTAAAATTGAATTTAGATATTAAGAAAAATTACTTGAAGTCAACATTTCTCAGAATGTATCACCATTCAATATTAGAAATGTACCCTCTATTCTTTCAGAGGCAGACATGTTTAAGTGTTTTTCTTTCATTGCCAATACTTATTTGCTGTTAGGTTCCCTTGGTCAGGAGTGAGAACAAAGATCTGATGATGTAATTCTCTGTTCCACAGGTGAAATTCTGATGCTCCTGAAATTAAGCTAAATGTCTGATTGTATCTATGCTGTAGGGTGTAACCTACTCTGTACAAGATCCTTCACAATACTCACCCTAATGATCTAAGGACTCATGGCCCTCACTCCAGTGGAGCCCAGCTGTGTAACCTTGGCTTGGACATCTAAGGACATTTTTAAAGCAGAAGAAAATCATGTAACTCTCTGCAGAGCCATAAGGTTAAATTTCAAACAGGTAAGGTTGGTATGGAGTTTATTGCAAGTAGTTCAAGATTTCAAGAGAACAAAACAGTAGATTGGAGAGGTATGAAATGCTGAAGGAGACACAACAACAGACGTGGTTGAAGATGGCAGTTCAGAAATGCCAAGGATTTGATTCCAGAAGAAGTGGAATCTGGCCATCCTCCTGATTGACACCTACCCAAGCAGCAGAAAGCCCCTGGGAGATCTCTTGGAGGTGGTGAGTGTACCAATGCTGAGCATAGTAGCTCATGAAATCTCAGCTGCCTTTTGTTCATGCTTGGTAATAAATAATTACCATATGCATTTAAGCTGTATATATACTACTTGCAGAATCTTATTGTTTGAGCTAAAGATGTTTGAATAAAGCAATTCAAGGAAGGAGGCACCTGAAGAGACCCTACAAGATAACTAGAGAGGGACTTCTTACATGGGCATGTAGGAATAGGACAAGGGGGGGATGGCTTTAAACTGAAAAAAGGTAGGTCAAAATTAGATATTAGGAAGAAATTATTTACTGTCAGAGTGGTGAGACACTGGAACAGGCTGCTTAGAGAAGTTGTGGATGCTCCATCCCTGAGAGTGTTTAAGGCAAGGGTGGATGAGGTTCTGAGAAACCTGGAAGGTATTCTGATCTCATGGAATGTATTCCAGCCCATGGCAAGGGACTTGCAACTAGATGATCTTTTATATCCATTACAACTGAAACCATTCCAGGATTATATGACAGGAAAACTCTAAGCATTCATTATAGTCATCTCCCTGGCTGACTTGTTTAGTTTGAAAATAGAGTAGGAAGGTATGGCAGTCTTTGGGTCAATGGAGAGTTTAAAACAAGCAGCTGAACCCAGAAATGGTATTCCCAAACCTTGATGTAAGACATAGCCTATGGCAAAATATAGCAGTGACATAGGGTGCTACTGACTACCCCTGACCACCTGTGAAGGAACACTTAGTCTGCCCTAAAAGAAAACTAACAAAATAATGAACAGAAGGTATTTATTCTTCTATATTCCTGTAATGGACTTCAGAGAGAATGAGAATTCTCTCTTTTTTTTCACTCAAAAATTAAAGCTCATTTTGCTGGAGACAGAAGAGTCCTTGCTTTAATCTCAGTGTCAATCAAGAGAGAAGGGACACTATGCAGTTATCATTAAGCTTAGAGTTCTTTACAGGCTCTGAATAAATTACTGAGAAAACCATGATGCTGTAAGATTGCTGAGAAAGTTTAATCACGAACTATTCACAGCAGATTCAGGAACACACCACTCCCAGATATCTGTGTTTGATATACCTCCTACAACTAAAACTATATCCAGACCTACTGTGCCTTTCTTCTTTCCCATCTATATCCCAGCAGGCTCTGCCAAACCCCTGTGCCCCAGCACCCTGGCACCCCAGTCTGATGGGGTTTGTCTGCTATGGATACCTTGGCAATCCAAGAGGACTTGGCACATCATTCAGCTACTTGGGCTTTATAGCATACACCAAGGCAGGATGTTTTGTCCTCCTCAAGAACAAGATGAGGCAGCAGGGGCTCCCCTCACAACATCAGAAAGCCAGCATTAAGACCAGCATTGCTGCTTAGTGTGTCTTATAATTTTTTTAATAATCTCTTGATCAAAGTTCAATGAAGTAACTGGTGCAGTCTCACAGAGGATTGGAAATTCCTTGAGAACAGGCATTTAGGTTCAAGTAGGAGCACTCTATCCTGCCTCCACATACACTTGCAGTGATCAACACAGCTGTGGCTCCTGGCCTGCACAGTCCAACACAGCTGCTATGTGTATGTACTGCTTTCTGAAAGCTGCTCCTGTCAGGTCAGTGCATTAAACCCATTAAAGCAGCCTCATTCCCCAGATGTGGTTTTTTTTTTGTTTTTGTGGGGTTTTTTGTTTGCTTGTTTGTTTGGTTTTTTGTGGTTTTTTGTTTTGGTTTGGTTTGGTTTGGTTTGGTTTTTTAAAGCAAGGGGCAGAAGGATGCACATCTTGCTGCCTTGGAGAAAAAGCAAGGCAAAAATTGTCTTCTGTTCCCTTATCATACATCAGGGAAAAACTAATTAGCTTACTGAAGAGATGTTTTCCAGAGGAGCTGCAACTGAGACTGCAGTCCTAGAGGTACAGGTAGCCATGAGAGTCTTCTTCTGCATGGACCTAAAATCTCTGAGTACATTTGCATATCTCCTTTCATCACATCCACATCTCCAGCTGACATCCTTTCTCTCTGACATTGGCAGTATTCCCTATGTCTCATACTACAGATGCCCCTTGTTCAGTTGCTGTTTGGTGTTGTTTGCATAGAGGGTGTCTGGAACTGATTTTCTGGAGGTCTCAAGCTGTGAATGTGCTTGATTCATGTGTCCCTAAAACTGGCTATCAGTAAACGACACTAAAAACAGCTTGGGGGCAGAGACAGTGAGGTTGCAGCTACAGGAATTTGGACCTAATATTTAACTACTCTTGGATTTCAGCAGATAAACACAAGCACTGCAATGACTCATGCTGGCTTGAGGTTTGAGGTGACTCTGACTCAGATATTTCACTGAATTTCACTGCAAAGAAAGTTATGCTCTTTTACTCTGAGTTGTGAGTGATGGGAAATCCTGTGCTACAAAACCAGTACCCAGTGGTCTTGTGAAAGCTAATGGAGTTAAAAGTTCATGGATTTTTGTCTGCAAACTCATGAAGAATCAGCTATGAGACAAAACACTCCATGCTTGGCAGACAACTGAGGATGCAATATCCTGCATCCAGAACCCAGGGCTACACAAGGGGCATGAAGAAGCTCTGACCATCTCTTGGAGCAGGCTTGGGAGAATATCATATGCCCATATGAAGCTACTGCTATGATTCTTTTTTCATTCAGAGGAGCCAGCAAAACAACAGGACTACTATTACATTTAAATGCACTGCAGTATTTGACAGATCTGTTGCCTATAGTTGTGGAAAAAGGGAGCTGGCTTCACCTGCAGATACAGAGAACTTTAGCTTCAAACCTTGGGAGACATCCTCCTGTCTGGTGAGAGAATAGAGAGAGGAGTTGTCTCATGGGAATTAATATGTAAACTAGTTTGGTACAAATAAAGGGTTCTTGGTTTCAATATGTGGTTGGCTGGTTGCCAGCTACCTACATGGTTCTGTTCCTTATCCTCATTATTCATTGGATTCTATACCCTCTACCTCATCTATATACTTCCATGCTTTCCTGGTTTCAGGGTCTTTGTAGGTTGCCTTTGTAGCTCACAGTTTCTGTATTTGTTATTTTTGTTACATTAAAAGTTCTTTGTTTCAAGGCAACTCCGTCCTTCTGTCTCTATATTTATGCAGATTCCCCAGCTGGCCTGATTCTGTATGGCCACTCCCAGCAGCCATATACAGTAGGTAATAAAATGCATAGGGTAATATTTAATTCGAGCTCCCAAGTATTTTATTACTCACAAGACAGCTGAAAAAATCCATACAGGGGAAGATAAGGTTACTCTGCCCATGATCAGCTTGCAAATCAATGGCTGTGCCAGAGGTAGTAAACGTGTGTGCTTATTCACATGCGTTATCCTCTGTAAGTGGTTATAATGCCTTTCGACCTAGCTGGGGTTATTAAAATTAGAAGTGTGTAACAGAAGCAAATGATTGCTTATATACATAATAGACCTTGAAAACAGTGTGTTTCAAAGCCTTTATTCTCAAGTGAGGACCATTAATGAAGTCCTACTAACTGCAGGGAGAGAATATTGTAAAAAAATCACCTGAGGGTCCAGTCCCCACTCATTAATTTTACCTTTTAATTTTATCTGCAGCCAGCTTTAATTTTTAATTGCTAACATAATTTCCTTGATTGTTTTTGAGGAGATGAATTAGATGTGACAAATCCTTACTTTTTGCAAGGGCTAATGTTCCTGACCCTTAATAAAATTATTTAATAATGATGTAACTGCTCATGGAGTCACCGTCTACTATGTATTTCCTGTTTCAAAAAAGATCTTCTTTGACTTAGTATACAGGAAAGAGCCAAGTTACAAGTTACATGAGGCATCTTTCAAATTAAAATTACATTTACCTCTTAAAGTTAACACAGGTACATCAGGATATATTTAAATATAGCCCATGTATTGAGCCAAGTCTGCTCCTCACCATCAGTGACTTATGAATGCATGAACAAGATTCTTGCATCTTTCAGTCACCATGCATTCAGACTCTGGCATTAGGGCGAGAGTTTGGTGTCTTTCCTATTGCCCTCTGTAAGTTGCTAGATCCCTTTATCATAGTTTGCTTCACACAACATTAGCAGATACACTTGTATTCCTTCTTTGATAATGTAAATCCCAGAGTTACAAAAAATATTTTTTCACAATTGAGAGTTTTGGGATATTGATCTTTACCTTACCTTACTTCACACATTCTAAAAGAAGGAAAAGTTTAAACTGAATGCATTTCAGTTGTGGAGGAAAAGGGAAAATGGACTGGTTGATGCCAATTTTTGTGACTTTTCTTGCACAGCCTTCAATGGATAACTTCTCTTATAAGTTTCAGCATTCTGATTATTTTTCACCCATGACTGTAAATTATTTTTTAAATGTCTTTTTTTCACTAACCTCTTTTAATAGAATTTTCTATTCAAAAGAACCTAAGAGATGTTTCTGATTGATAGAAAAAAATGTCTTGCAAGTAATGACTGCATTTCCATCTGTCTAATTTGTGTGAAAGTCATGCCCTTAAAAGCTACTGTAGCTCCTATCTAATATTTGAACTAGTTGTAGACTGACAAAAATCATAGATATTTGCACAAGAATAAGCAGATTTTATGCACACCCATGACAACATGAGCCTCTCCACTGCACAAGACCGATTGTTTATTTGGAATGCATGTATTTTCTTGCATTTCATACTTACAAGTGTTTTATATCAAATGAAATATAATATAATGCTTCCTTAAGTATTTTGAACTGATACCCCAGAAGGTTGTTGCAGGGATTGTGGTTGAAATGCTTTACCGAGGAAGAAAAAGCTTAGGAAGAAAATAGGTAATTGTTCTCTTTTATTTTCCTGCTTTAGTATACTGGTTTTTTGCTATATACGCTTTTAACTCATATATATGCTTTTTATTCATTTACAAAGAGTAGAATGAGAAAAAAATCTTGTATTTTATGTCTCTTTCAATCACGTTCCTCTTTAGTCTCCATTTCCCTGATTAGCAATGTCACTTTATGTACTGAAAGGTGTTTAGCTGCTGACAGGAATCAGCCATGTGCTGTGTTACTAGGACAGCTCTGTGCAGCACTGCTGTGCTCTCTATTTCTAAAGATAGCCCTGCAATGATATCAAAATCTAAAAGCCTGTTATTTAAACTGTCATTTACAATATCTATATTCTGAATATTTATATTCTGAGTATTTTCTCCTGTTGATTTAATTGCCAAAAAAATTACCTTTTGCCCTTTGTTTCTGTCACACTGAATTAAATTTCTGTTAAAAGATGCGTCTGAATTTGTGCAGAAAATCGACCCTTAAACTGTAACAAGCAACTCTGCTGAGCTACACTTTCTGACAACCAAACGCGGACTTTACCGAAAGAAAAAGTTTTAGTATACATTTAATCTCTAACTTGGCATATACTGAAGGAACTGGTTTTTATATTCTATTGCAACTGCTCTAAATTTCTGTGTATAATTGGATTCATCCTGCTGAATTGTTGGAGGCCCTTGTGGAAGATAAAATTATCCAGTGTAGATCTGTAGCACCAAAGCAGTCACAGTTGTGACAGAGGAAATTATATTTTCCAAAGGCAAAGGTGAAGCGAGTTCCTTCAATCTAAGTAAATTCATGTGATGCTGCGAAGGCCTCCTCCCTTTCCTCTTTCTAAACATGAATGCAATATTCCTTTCTGGGATGACTTTATCACATGATAGTACTTTAAAATGAATGACTTCTGTACCCTAAATCACTCAGTGTATAAGCATAGAGTGGCAGGTTTTACATAAGGCATGGATTTAGTTTGTTGGAAGGATAAATAATAATAATAAAATGCACTGAGCTTTCAACTAAAGAGGAAACAAGAACACACGCAGCTAAGTAAAATAGGAACAGCAATAAGTAAACACTGAAAATTATTGAAAATGTTGAAAAACAATAACCCAATTATGCTAAAGCCATTCAAACTCAGATTTTTTCCCATGCCTTGGCCTAAAACATGAGTTTTCATTTAATAACAAGTATAAGATGTAAAAAATTCAAGTTGTGTGTTTATGATGGTTCACATGTGTTTCTGCTGTATTATCCACAAACACTAAATTCCTTTCCCATAGACTTTAATCTAACATTTTCATCGTTATCCTTTAATTCAACTGATCATGACATTTCTTGGGCGATGAGGGCTGGGGATATAATTCCATACTGTCTTCAAGAACAGACAGTTTCCCTTCAGCAGCAGTTACTGGATGTATATTTTGAAAATCAGACAGATCAAAACTGTATATTTGAGTTACTTAGTCCAAGCAGCTTAGGTCTATCTCACTTATAATGGCCAGGTTAAAAATGTGTTCTCAGGCTATGCTGAAATTCACACAAAAGGCCTTCATGTAGGTACTGTGTTTTTGCTAAGACTCAGTGATTGTAGGACTAAGGAGGTAAAAAATCTTGGTTTATAGCTTCATTTTGTTTTATATAAAATAAGGAGCTGGATGCAGTTTTCTTAGAAATGAGCAAAATTCTACGATCACCAGGAACTGTTGTACTAAGAGGAGACAATCACAATCTTTTCTTCTGGAGATGGTTAACTTTCTACTAGTGATGGAATATGCATTAAGTCAGACTTAAAAAAAAATGTACAAGGAAAAGGTTGAATCTGTAAACCAGAGAGTTATGTTCAAGCCTCTGGCTAAAGGTATCTCTTATTTGCTCAAACAAAGTAAACAAGTGCAACAAAAATAACAGGAAGAGCATTTACTCTAATTGCCCCAAAAGCATAGGTATAAAGATGTTCTCTTGGCACTTGGGGGATGAATGGCTAGTCCGGAGGTGAACTTAAGCAAAGTGCAGGCTGAAAGAAAGCCTTCCATCTCTGAAAAAAAGTGTATTAATTAGTGTCTCAAATTTTCTTAATCATATCTGTTCATGCTTCCTCATCAGATACTTATCTCTCCTTATGCTGCTGAGGACCAACTGAGATTCCATGGCTTTCTTGTCTCCAGGTCTAATAATCCCAAGGAGTTCAAGTTATGAACTTTCTACTCTTATCCTGTCTTTCTCTTTCTTTCTGTTCCTTATACATTTTCTTAATTATTTTTATGCTTCTATATTGCTGCATTTCTACAGGTGATAAAAGCCAAAATTGCTACATACCTGCTTTCCACTGGAACCGAATTGTTCTAAAATAAATCCACTATATCTATCTATCTATCTATCTATCTATCTATCTATCTATCTATCTTTATTTATTTATTTATATTTAGATATAAAAGTATAGATATACACACGGGTATATGTTTATAAACAAATTGACAACAAATCTTTATCATTGCTTTCCACTACATTTATAGTCCTGTATTTGATAGATAAATGTAAAAAATATATGTTTTATACATTTAATCAGCCCAAGCATGTCAAACTTTCTGTAAATAATTTCGATGGGAATTTGGAAGAAGGGTGTAAACTTAAAAAATATCTTTCCCATAAAAAAAAATCACAGTTACTGTCTGACTCTGAAGAAAGAAACAGATCCTTAGAGCAAAACCATGGTTAGTATATCTTCAGGAGCAAAAATATAAAGAAATGTAAACACAGTAGCAAAATGTAAAGTTTGGGACAAGTACTTTGCTATTGCTCATTGTCTGACTCACCTAGAAATAGTTTGGTGCAAAAGCGATTAAGATATAAAACGTATGTTTATATGCAGCTTTGTGTCTAAGTTATTAGGCACCACTAGTAGTGATTTACAAGAAAGTTCCTTTGGTTTGTGTTATTTGTGGTCTCATTTGCAAACAGGATGACTCATGAATAAGTCATGAAGCTGTATTGGAAAGCTGCTTTGAGCATTTATTTGGTGAGATTACTTCAATTACATGCACATGCATATGCCACTGCAGGAACACTAATACATTATGCTTTATTAAAGCCACAAGATAAAAAGCATATGCTAAATAAATACAAATTTTTCAGAGTAACTAATGGAATGACAGTTCATATTAGAATAAAGATTTTTGACCTTTCATTTTTCTGAGCCATTACTATTCTTTCCACCTGGATATACCGAGTGCTCTGTCACTCTTCCTCATGCCATATCATATTTTACTGTCAGAAGGCCATTTTTTAGTTGTAGGGGAAATCTCTGGAACTGTAGGTGAAATCATAGCATGTGAAATCCCTACCATGCTATATGATCCTGTGACTTCATCATACATAGGAGGTAAAAACCTGAGTCTCATGAAGTCAAGGGAGAAATTCAGGTTGCCTTCAGAGGGATCCAAACAGCAGAGGACTTCATTGTTTGCTCTAGCAAAGCACACACCAGCAGAACACCAGTGGAGATGGTTGGCATATGCTGACTTGAACTTATAGTGAAGCACCTCTTCTGTCTTCACATATATTTCAGTGCCTCTTCTGAATCCCTTGTTTGAATTGTACATTGCCCGTTTTGAGGAAGCATCTGCAAATACATTTCTACTTTCTCATGTTATAAGGGGTTGGAGTGCGACAGGAAAGAAATTGCTGGAAAATCTTATGCATTGTAAATGATATTTACCAAATTGTTTTACTTGTCAGAATGCATATTTTAAATAAAAAATAAATGCACTAAAATTAAAGGTGTGGAAGATGTCATGTTGTAGACATATTTAACATTAATTATTGCTTTCTACTATGCCTTAGAAAGATGTGACTTAGTTATTGAGTTGATTCGATTGCACTGAGAGATGATGGACAGTAGACATGGAAAAATCTCAGCAAACAATTTCATGCCATCTTGAAAACATGAGAGATAAGGGTTGTGTGTGTTGGTTCAGGCAGGCATCTGGGACAAGCACAAACTCATGAATAAAACACAAAGAGAAAGTTTGTTTCAATTACCTTGCTAACCCTGAAGCAACACCCGGGCAGAAGTTCAAAAGTGGAGACAGAGGCACTGTTAAACTTGGTATGTTCTGGAGGATCACTGGCCTGCTGTTCTCACAGGCTTATCTAGTGTTATACCCAGCTGCAAGGTCACTGGAGTGCCTCACAATATTTCTTGCCTGTCTTCTATAATTAACTCATTTCTCCCAACATTCCATGACTTCCTCAAGAGACCATTTAATAAAGCATATAAAAAAAGAATAAACATCCAAACAATGGTCTGAGTTGTGTCCCACCTTTTTCATCAGAGAACTAAACTTCTCAATTAGTCATGCACTACTGTTAGATTGTGTTACTCCATTTATTCAGTCCTGGGGATGTTGGTTACCATCCTCCATGCCAGCTGATCCAGCAGTCAGGTCGAAGGAGTCAGGTTGGTTGCCTTCCAACTCAGGAAAGGGTTTATGATGTTGAAGATAGAGGTGTTTCTTCAGTAATCGATGTTGTAAGTTTCCTTGGCACATAGCAGTTGCAGTCCTACCACAAAATCCATCAGGGCAAACAATTCAGTTTTCCCTGTGGCTACTATTTTGGAAGAAGCTCCATTTGGAAGAATTTCATTTTTAACTGTATTTTGTACTGGAGATGTACAGTCACATTATTTTGGCCTCTGATTCTTTCAGTTTCTTGCAGTGCCCAAGCTTTTAATTTGTTTCTCCACCAGAGTATAATGTATAATGAAGCACTGTAATGCCTTGGACTAAAATTCTACAGACTTTTAAAAACTTTTCCAGTTGTCTACCATGATACCCACAAGACTATATAATCTAGAATTGTTACTTCTAATTCAAAAGCAGTTCCCTGTCTAGGAGTGTATAATCAGACATGTTCAAGCAAAGCATTTTTGCAGGTGTCAGAGGTTTCTTTTTATTTCTTGATCCATTGCCAAACAACATTCTTCCTGGTCCATTTCTCCCATCTTGGTATTTGCTAGGTTGTCCCTCATTGTGGGATAGCACATGGGATAGAGAGGGAAGAACTTCTTGTTTGTAGGCACTAGCTTTTGCCAATGACAAAACATTTCTGATGTTGTGATCCCATTTATTTCTGGTTGTGGGACACCATCTTGAATAAGATTCTTCCACACTTGTTCGTTTGTCACTAGTTACCAGTGAGGTAACTTTGGTTTTGCCAGCCTATTTTCATTCACCACCTTCACATCTGGTTCTGAAATTATACTCTGTGTTCTAGGGTACCTGCAAGTAGCACTTGTGACTTCAGGTGTAATCAAAGGTTTCGGTGAAATAGATGCCACTCTCAAAACCTCCATTTCGATACTTTTTGTTGCTGCTGTCCTATCCAGACTAGATACTGTATTTAGCCCATGAGCCATCCCATCTGCCACAGTAAACTAACACTGTTTTCTATTTTACACTGATTTTTGAGGGATGACGCTAATTCAGCAATTATCTGCAAATGCTATTAAAACACATCCATTGATATAGCATAGGTGCACCACATCCTGCCCATTGTGACCCCTGACTGTAGGGCTTAATAGATTTTTTTTTCACCCATTAATAAGTGAATTGTTGCAGTGCCACTGTCCCAAGCTTGCAAAATCTGTGCCAGGATGGCTTCCCCACTCTTCTACTGAGAGATACCTAAAAATTCCCTTAGCTCTTTCAGAGTCTATGTAATCTGTACCCCTTCATCCACTAGATTGCTCTGTCTCTCCATTTTTATGAGGGGCTTGCTACTATGCCCTCCCTACCTGCCAAATCTGGCTCTGAGACCAAGGAGTAAACCCAGATATTTTCCCCATTCCCTGCAATCCCACAAAGATTTCACAGTGAGAAAATAAACTTGGGAAATTGAAACCTTGCTGTACCCATCGTGTGCCTTTGTGAGCAATACATGCCACCAGCTGTTCTGCAGTGCATTGTTGCTTATAGCAGTGTTGTGCTTGAGTGGTGATTGCAAGATGCCAAAGCAATCTCACAAAAAGTAAAGTCCTAACTACTTTTTCCAGCTCTCTGACTTTGCTCTGGGATGCTATAATTTTATGGTCGAGAGCTCTAAGACCAGTAGCTAATAGCTATCCCAATCTCCCTGCTTACTCACAAGAAGATTTTGATGTCATTTTCCATGGCAATCTGCACACAGCCACCTGCATCACTTGAGGGATAACCACCATTCCATCATCTCTGTCAGGCCATGCTTTTGGTGGAGCCCTTGTAGTTAGGAATATGGCCAGAGAGGGCCAGGGCTCTGTTCACCCCACAATGGAGCAATGGAGAGAAATAAAATGTTAGGCGTCACCATCACACTGACACCAGTCCCTAACTATTCTGTTGGCTATAGGAAGGGAATACTGCTATGAAATCTGAAAATAAACACCAGTAAATAAGAAGCAAGCCTTGCTGCTCTCCATAAACATGAATTCCTGCAGCTCAGTGCATTGATCTGTGAAAGGACTCATTTAGGTTTCTCTATTATTGTCATCATCAGTAACACATTTTAAAAGACACTGGAATTGTGCTGATCTCCCTTAAGTCAGGTTTAATCTGAGGCAATCTTCACTATAGTCATTATTATATTTACTTCCATGGTTAGCATCCCTTTGTTTTTGCTCAGTAAGGTAAATAAGCAGTATAAGTGCAGCCATCAGTATTTTATTTTCTTGCTTAAATATATTTAATAATTTTTCACTTTCCTGACTTTCCCTCACTCTTAAATCTTTACCTTCCAAGTCAGAAGTACATTTAATTTAATAGCTTTCATTACCTGAATTTCTCTAGTAGTCACCCTGTCCAATACAGCTGTGCCCTTCTTTTTCCACAGAGCTGCATGAAGATCATGTGTTAGGCTTTAGTGCTTTGGCATCAGTTTAATGAGTGACTCAGAGAAATGGGCAAAATCCTCAGTTTTCAGTGACACCATTACAGAAAGATTCAAACTTTTCAAGACAGAATTAATAAAGAGTGAGTCACCAGAGGCTATCTGCAAACAGAATCTGAGTCTTTACCCTCTAAGGAAAATCAAACTAATTTCTACACTAGCCGGATCTGGAGGGCTCTTTAGCCTAACCTTGTCCTCTGTTGTTGGGAAATCTAGAAGACAGTTGCAGTTGGAAAGAAATGGGGTGCTGCCCTTCTGTCTCATACCAGTGGAACATCTTCCTTTCACATGTTATAGGAGAACAAATGGGATACGGAACAGTTGATCAAGCTATTCTGGCCTTGGTTGGGTACAGGCCATGGGATAAGCAGCCACAGATATGAGGGAAGAGCTGGGAAAGTAGAGCATATGCAGCTATCAAGTCTTTTGAAACCATGTGATTTTGTAAGACTGCCACGTAATGGAAACAATAGGCTGGTTCTGTAACTATGGGGGAAATTCTGGCTTGGGGATTGTTGGAGGTTGAATTGTTCCCTTTTCTTTCTGCGGAATTTCCCCCATTATTATGCTAAGTATTTGTGGCTACACCTTAGTAGCAATAGTTTTCTCGAACGGGGGGTGGGGGAGTAGGGGGAGACCAGAAAAAAAAAGGTGGGACAGGGGCCTGGGCTCTCTCGCTCTCTTGTGGAGTGGAAGGAAGACAGCCGGAGCTCATACCTAGCATCTTCCCTGCCATCCCAGCACCAAGAGCCACTTTCCTTGCTGTCAGACATCACAGTGCTGCTTTCCCACTTCATCCTACTACCTCTGGGCACTCTGCCAAGCACCACGACTGACACCGTGAGGGGGAGTCACTCCTCCATCCCTCTCACCCCTGGGCCACTGCCACCAT